GAAGAAGAAGAAGAAGAAGAAGAAGAAGAAGAAGAAAAGGAAGGAAGCAAGGAAGGAAGGAAGAAAATACTGACAGGAGAGGAATGAAAAATAAATTGTGAAATGAGCAGAGTTGAAAAAATTTTTTAGGGTTGAATATTATACAGTAATAAATTATTTAAGTATACCTTTCTGAAGCTATATTAAGGAATTTTAGTAATGATTAATTAATAATGTTTGAAAAAATAAATACAGAAAATGCTTTGTAAATGCTTTAAATAAATAAATTTTAACTGTATACTATTATTTTATAAAAAATTTAAGTCAGAAAATGGTAAGAAATAAATTCAAGGATGTGGTTGTAGATTCTGAAAGGAGAGACAGGGATATGAGTTCATGGATATAGGTTAAACAACACATCTAGATTTTTAAACTCTTTAATTTCTTGAATAAAGAGATCAGAGACATTGACTATAAATTGACTGTAAATGTAGTAAAATCCATTAATGTTACTGATTGAGAATAATGATTGAAGCATTTTTCCCCCAAACCTAAATAAAGTACCAAAGAGAATAGGTTATAAAAGTTTTTAAATAACCTGAGACTTAGTTTTTGTGTTAGATTTATGTTTGTTATGGCAAATGTCAGTATCCTTATGAGATTAATCAGATACTTACCTAAAGGACCATTCTATTATTTGTATTGTACAATTTTTACCTAAATATAGCAGAAATTTATAACAATCATTTTATAAATTTTGTGACTGTTTTAATATTAGAAAAATGTCCTATATTTATAATCTTTGCATCTTGTGTTTTATATTTTAATTCAGATTTGTAAGCTTGCTTAAAGATTTTGTTGAGTCTGAATTTTTTCTAATTGATGGAGATTCTTTATTTCTCACTTGCATTTCCAACGTGAACTTAAAGAGAGGACAAACTCTTCACTTCTTCTATCTTGTGGAGCAATTTCTGCATGATTTCCTTCAAAAGGAAGCCAGATTTGTAATTGTTTTTTTCAAGGTAACAATAACAATTCAATTTTCCACTGTAGTTTTGGAGAGTCTGAGAAAAGTATTATGCAATTTTAAAATATAATCAACCATTACTCTTTTAGATAATTTGCTTTTCCAGAGAGCAAGGTCTTTTCTAAAGAGAGAGAGAGAGAGAGAGAGAGAGAGAGAGAGAGAGAGAAAGCAAGCTAGTGAGTCTAGTTATCTTAACAAGTATTTTAAGATGCAGAAAAAATATTTTCGTAATCTTGAACATTTCACTCTTTGTATCTTATTATGCAAGTTGTACATAACACTTAAGCAAAATAGCTAGTGGCTCTATTTTGTCTCTAATATTACCATTGGTTTACTTTCCCTACAGGATGTAGAAAATATGTACTTCAACTATCCTGACCTTTTGGCTCTTCGTACCACATTGATTCAACATTTAAAACACAATACTGGTGTTACTGTCCATACCGAATTTTCCAACTGCTTTTCTCCAGAATGGGAGATATTTCTTAAAGAATGTTATCCTTATTTCCTGATTGTCAGTGAAAAGGGGATAATACCTCACCACACAGACTTTTTAAATATTTTTATCATTCATGCTCTTCAAAAGAAAATCAATATTGTGCTATCTGGGGGACAAGAGACTGATGTCCTTAGAATTTATGGATACTATGCCCCAAGCCTCTATTCACACAAAGAGTTTTTTCAAAAGGTAAGCCATGTTAAATTGTTGAGACAAAATAAACTGTGTGAGTCTAGAAGAAATGCAATCAAAGTATCAAAAAAATATACCTTCATTTGAAAAATGTGGGCTTGATTAAAAGTTTCAAGAGTTCATTTATCATAATGCTCCCCAGTCCCTCTCATGTTAGATAGTGATTTACAAAATCATTGCTCCTGCGTGCTATTGTTATATCAGTCTTATAAAGACAAATACTATATAAGACCATTATTGTAGAATGAAATCGAGGATCCAAAGGCAGATGGTGGTGGTGTTTAATCATTGGTCACACAATTTGATAGATGGAGGGAGGGATGGGTAGAGGAAAGAGGAAAGATGCAGTTTGAAAAACATGCATACAAATGTAACGAACTTTACATGTAAACCAATATAATATTTAAAAAAATAATTGAAAAAAGTGTGAAGGGGCATTCTAGAGGAAAAATAGTGACTGTTTTTTACTTGAGCAAAAGATACTACTTGAAGTAGGCTAATTTGAGTAGTCAAATATTTTTGTAAGTGGTGATGTGTTTCCTTGTGGATTTATCCCTTGCTTTAAAATTTTGAAAGGTGGTGAAGAACAGTTATATGCTGGTTTTATGAATAAAAACCAATGGGGATGGCATAATTCAAAGGCAAAGAAAATGCAGGACCTAGAGAATGTAAACACATCACACACAGAGAACACATATATTGGTTTGTTTAACAAGAGTACATATATTTTTGTGCACATGTGTGTGTATTTTTATATATATTTTAGAAATATGGCTTTTATTTCATACATTATCACTTTTGAAACAGAGGTAGGTTATTGAGAAAATGTTTTATAGCCTTATTTTTCAGTAGTATTTTGGAATAGATTTGAAAATTGTATTTCTTCAAATATAAATAGCTATTTATATTAAGGGAGCCTTGGTGGACTAGTGGTAAAAAGCTATGCTAAAACCCCAAAGGCACTTGGTTTGAATCCACCAGATGTTCTGTGGAAGTAGGATGGACAATCTCCTTCCTTGTGATTAACTGCCTCTGGAAACCCACTAGAAGGTCAGCTATGAGTTGGTTCTGACTCTACAGTACTCAGTAAGAACTACAACACGTATATTAGGTGTTAAGATTTTCAGATGTTTTTCTTTGTTCATTTGCTTGGTGAAAGAAAGATAAAATAACAAACCAGATGGTGTAACACAAAACACTTAAAATACTGCGACCAAGACAAGTACTGCTTAAAGTATTGGCATGTAAAAAAAAATTATACATCTCAGTTGTTTTTGTAATATTTCTTCAATGGGTAGTTGAAGCAAAAAGAAAGGAGTCTGATTTTACTTGAATTAATATATTTTTCCCCACAAGGTTAAATTATCTCAGATATTATAAGAGGTTTTAGAATATGTCCTTTTAGTTTAATCATAGTATTTACTTAGCTTTTTGTTTGTTTGTTTAGCATGAAAATAAACTGCAACATATATTACATGACTACTTAAGAAATTATTTCCACAAGTTACAGAAGAAAGAAATTTTACTATATGGTCATATGAGGCTAGACTTGGAAGACATGCAGAAAGAGGTAATATATACATTTATATATTTGTATAGACACTTCGTATAATAAAATTCAGCATCAAAAATGTATTTTAGTTCTTTTTTGTTTCTAGAAAACAGAGATTTCCTTTATTAGCATCTATGTTCCCATTGAGTCTTTATGAAGACTTCTTGGGATGTACTCTCCTTCTATCTACATAGCATTACTATGTAGAAAAATAAGAGACCAGAAAGCATGCATTCAGTTTACACTGTGAGGAGCTAGTAACTGAATGATCTGTAGTTTGAGCACAACAGTGGCTCTGTGGCAAAAAGATGTAGAAATTAGTTTCTATAATAGAAAAACCTTGGAAATCACAATGGAGAGCTCTACTCTGTCCCACAGTACCTCTCTCTGAGTCAAAGTTCAACCCAACAGAAATTAGTTGAATGTGGTTCTTCTGAGACACTGAGCAGTTAACTAATTTCACCCCATAGAGGTACCACAATAGAAGCTTTACTAAATTTATAAACTAAAATTTTTGCTATTAGAGATACAGTAAGGAACTTTGGTGCTTCTAACCAGAAAGGTTGCTCAGTTTTGGTGGTTTGAAGTCACAAGTGACTATATGTGAGAAAGACAGGCTGCCTCGTTTTAAGGTTTAAAGCTTCAGAAAACCAATGTAGGATACCTGTGAGTGGGGATATAGTAAGATTAGAGAAGATATTTAAGAATTTTTAAATATAAAAAAATTAAAAACAAATATTCTTGAGATATGTGTGATAATCACAGAAAAACTTTATTTCTGTAACTTTCCTATAGAAAGTTTTAAGCATATTGAAGAACAAAATTATGGTTATTTCGTGGGTTCTAAACATCAGACTTAAGGAAAACTATTTGTCCTTAAATACAAATTTGCTGACCCTCTAAAACAGACAGCCTGATCCCTACTTAAAACAAATTCTTCATTACAATCACTTTCCCTTTCTTTGCATATGACTGTTGAAAAGAATAACTTCACAGGCTTTTCTTGTACTAAAGTGAATTTAAGTAACGATTGTATGTGCCTGTTGGTATTGATCCATTTTTATTTTTCTTATTTTTCCATTTTTAATTTTTTTTTATGATTTAAGTGAAAAGTTCCAGAGTGAATTGGTTGTCCAAACATATGTGGTGTTTAATAATTACAATACTCACAATACTGCAATTGGTTTTTTTTACACTCACAGTGATTTTTATTTCAATTAGTCCTTTTAGCCAACTCCTTTCTGTTAGGTGATCTTTACCCTTGATGTGAAAATTTCTAAAGATACAATAAAGAATGGATCTTATTTTAAATTCAAGGACTACCTTTAAGCAATTGATTTTTTTAAAAAAATATCTCATGAGTATACAGCTTAAACTAATGATTATGTCCCCTTTCTGGTTTATACAGACATGTCATGTAACACTATTTCCCCTTTGCTTGAGCAATGTTTTTAAAAAGTGAAAATTATGTAATCAGAATCACAAGTCTCTAAAGTTAATACCCTCATCAGAAAGTAATTTAAATTCTCTTCCTCTCAAATCTCTCATCTATAAAGATGCCTTCTATATTGGGTTACTCTTGCTTGTCTTTTTCACGAGTTCATGTAATGGTGCTTACTGTATGATTACTAGGATTCATATATTATAATAAAAGATGCACTTAAAATGTTAATCCATAACAGAAAAGGATTATTACATATGATTTTTTTGTCTTTTTAAAATTAAATTTTATTAATTTTAATGAACATTTACAGAGATTTTGGGTTTTCTTTCATTCATTGTTGCATTATTTTCTCTACCCTCCCCCCTCCCCAGTTGTTCCTCTTTTTTCTCCCCCTTTCATGAATGTCTGTTTTAATTGACCCACTGAAACAGTGCTTGTCAAAGCCAGTTCTGATTAATCTCCTTTGTCAGTGTGTCCCTTGCCATTCCCTATCACTCCACCCTGAGAGAGACTTCCCCCTGATTCATAAGGAAAAGGGGATGGCATATTCTCTTAGCTACTTCCTGCTGAAAAGGGA